GACATCTGGCGATGGTTACGCTACCGTATATACACACATATGCATAGAAACAGTTGATACATCTATGCATGTATAATTCATAAAAATCTATCGATTGAATATACACAATGTATAGCCATGCATTATGATTTTGTACTGTAAGACATTTTCGCATATGAAAAATTTGCTTTATGCCCTGCAGTTTTTATGATACAAGAGGCCGAGGGGAATCATCTGCTTAAATTATGCGTTAATAATTTTTTTTTTTTGATTGTCCATTTACTGTCTGTGGTCTATTTGTGTCATTATTTCTGTTTCAAAGATGATATTAATTGCTTACATGGCAGGTTAATAGCCTGTTTTTATTGGTTGTGCAACCTATGGGCGATTTATTGTCATCGTTTTAGCACCTTTAGTGAGATACCCAATGATAATGTCTTGCAATGTTGAAGTACTGCAGATTGTCTCCCGAGAAATGTTCCACGTTTACCTCATTCAGTGACGAAAGAGGTTTTAGGTCCAAATCAGACACATGATTAAGCATGCTCTCACAATATTAATTATGTATAGGACGATGCTTTATCATGTTTAGATGATCCTGCATTCATTTTCTGTCTGCGGGTTGTGTTCCCAAGGTTGTAGGTTGTAGGTTTATATTTCGGAAATTCTTTAAATGATATCATGCCTACGTGGCGGGCCAGCAATTATTTAGACGTACAATTTTTAAAACGTTATAATTATTATATATTAAGGTAAGCCTACATAAATCGTGAATAAAGTGAATTATGAATTACTGTATATAATTCGATTTTGCCCACTGCACGTAAAAAATTAAAATAAACTATCAATGTTTGCCGTTTCTGTCTCTACATATCATTACCACAAAACCATGACTTAGAGATTTATACATGCGGCCAAGCTGTCTGAGAAAACCTTAGTGGGGAGGTGTGATGTTCACTAGACTATGAATTACGACTGCATGTTTGCCTTGGACGCATCATAATTTCACACAAGACTATGATATTCTTCTGCATTTACAACGAAACCTAATTAGATAAGCTGGAAATCG